GTGAGATGATGATGACCATGATGATGATGATGATGATGATGATGACAACATCAGGTTCGAGACAAAGAAAAAATGGGAGGCAAAACAAGAGTTTTAGACGGGGAATCTGTTTTGACCTTTATTTAGTTCCTTATGGAGTTCAAAAAGAACGAAATTCACTTATATTACGGTGTGGCCACATGTGGTTCAGCCGTCCAGTTGCTGATTACCTCTAATCCGGTCTTGGTGGGGGGATGGAAAGGGAAGTATGATTACTTTACGAAATACTGGTCACGTACATTGAGGGGACGAAAAATGTTTTGTGCTTTTGTGTTTTTATCGGATGTGATGTACTTTTCTGGTGGTGATTTGTGCTGCCCCCGCTCCCGTCCATTTCGGTCCTCATTTTGAGGCCACTAGAAAGTTTGTAAGTGGGAAGTGAGCGGGAGGTTGATAGCATGTTATGAAGCATGATACAGAATAGCTGTCAATAAGAGAACAGTCTCCATAGAGGTGAATGAGTTGGCGGAAGATTCAGATTTGTTTCAAAAAAATTCGCGTTTTTAATTTCTTAGTTTCATTTCATAAAGAATGTGTTCCGATTTTTCTAGTCACACTTGTGATGCAGGTTTCACTGACTGTGAATTGGTCCACAAAAATTGGGTAAAACATTCCGATCTCATTTAGAACCCAAATTCAGATGAATGAGTAGTTCCATCATTAATAACCGTACCGTACAATACTTATGTGAAGATAAAAACTGGGAGACTGAGGTCAGACTGGGTTGGTTGTGTGCCACATAGGCGGAATAAGTAGCCCGGGATGACAATATGAGTTGCCGACTGTTGAAATGAATCTTTTTTCTAAAATCATTGTATCAACGAAATCGCTGTGAACAAGTCAAAATACATCACATTTTCAATACTAAATTCTTTTAAACCTGGTCTTTTAGGCAAATCATGGCCTCTAATGTGTACTGTATTTTTCTGAGTTTGATACTTTCAAATTGAACAAACAACACAAAGGTAGCAGGGTTTTTTAGTAGTAGTGTAAGATGCTTGGCTCGGGTGTGCCGCAGGATGTCCCCCGTAAACGAATACATCACACAACCGCAAGTGGGCCGAGTCTAGGTGTGGGCTGGAACCGTCGACAGACAGGAGGTTCTCCGTGGAGAGAGTGAACTGACAATCTGCAAGAGAGGAAAATACAGACACCATGAACCAAGTGGTCCAGTGAGACATGAACACGACTCACACTCAAACGGAATGGCAAGTTGCCAAGGTCGTTACAGTAGTACTACAGTTAAAATGTTGAACAGCTTCCCGATGAACAGCTTCGCCCACGAGTTGTGTGCATTCAATCGTATTCCGTGATAAGATTTTCTAACAGTTTGCTTATATTGTTCATGAATTAGTCTGCAACGAAACACCTTTCGTGGACACTTAGTTACCTTCGGCTAACTACCTTCATGTTTGTGCTGTCTACTACTTAGTAAACCGTTTGGGGAAAATATATTATTATACTAGCTGCCGATACATGCGATAGAAATGTCTGCGAGAACTGTCAACGAGCACTGTTTGGGATTCGTGAGCAATGCGGACGCAACAGCTGTCCAGTGCTTTTTGTCGGTTAACACAAACATTTCTATCGCATGTAAATGCATTCAACTAGTTGGGAATTAACGGTCCCCAAGGGAGTGAAACCCACATCCCAGACCATCAAGAGTGCCTGGTGCCTCTGAACAATCGAATGGATCAATCCAAGTTTGATACTCTTAAACGGTAGCTCATCCCTTTCGGGTTATTCTTCATGAAAGGAATATGTAGGTAGCTTCAGATAACTGACGATCGTTCAAACCTTCCTTCCTTAAAATTGACAGCTCATCGGTGTTTAGAACCGGACAAATGGAATCCATATTTCGGGCAATAAGAAACCGAGAGAATGTAGTGCTATGCATCTAGCAGCCTACTTCAGTTTAAAGATACTATCGCACAGATTTGATCGTGTTTGAGATGACCGGATTATTTATCCCCTCACAAAATCCTTACACTGTTATCAATTGGGATTAACGTTTGGAAAAGAAGAGAATATCTATGAGATTCTTCTTCAATGTGTTTTCTTCAATTACAACCGATAACTGTCCGAATCACAACTTGTGTACAGTAAATGGTGAAAGAGAAAGAAACTCTGCTGGTGCGCTCGCATGGATGCACAAACACAAACACACATACAAACAAACTGAAACAGATTCGATACCGAACCGGTCCGCGGTATGCATCAACCAATCCACACTGTCTAAGAGAG